TTTCTTCCTGGGAGAAAGAGGGCTGATTACCCACTGTTTTCTTTTTACTGCATAATCATAGAGAGATTGTGCAGCTTCTTAAATTCTCTGTGTCTGAATTATTTGTTATTTCTATTTTAAAATTTCATATTGCAGAAGAGCAGTTTTGTGACAAAAATGGGCTCTGGTTGAAACAAGTTCAAATCTTGGCACTTACCTTCATCAGGTGACCTCACCATGCAGTCTTGGGCTTCTCATTTAATAAATAAGGGTAATAGCCATTAGTACCTCACAGGAAGATCATGAGGATTAAATAAGCTGGTACATATAAACTTTAGTTTATGGGCACAGTAATTGTTCCATAACAGTCAACTATATGATTTTAATTATTTTATTACTGATACTGCTTCAGAAACATATTTTCTTATATTTTATAAAGCCCCAGGTTAGTGCAAGAAATGAGGGTTGTTTAGAGATTTCTTCCTGTTCACATTCAAGAGAACTCATTTTGAAGATTTATTTTTTTATAATGTTTCTTCCTCAGACCCTTCTGACTTCTCACCACCCAGACCATAAATATTTACCATCAAAGTAGAATGGAGATCACTAAAGTAGACAAAGGGGAAGGGAGAGAAAGGGGAAAAATGGGGAAATAAAATTTACCAAAATCATAATATACCAATAGAATACACACACATGTGTGTGTGTGTGTTTGAGTGTATAGAAGAAAAGTAGAGGGAGGAGAACTGAGAAGGGGAGGAAGGAAGAACTGGGGAATGTCTTACAGAAATTATGTGCATATATGAATATATTTACAACAGTCCCACCACTATGTATAATTATAATGTACCAATTAAAGCATTTACAAAGATGGTCATCAAAGCATGATTTATAAAATCGAATGGTAGTTAGTTAAATGACCAATATGTAATTAAAAATAAAAAGCAGATGGTTAATCAAAAGACGAGAGGAGTTGAAAAATGGGATTGAGGGAAAGGTAGGAGAGATGGGATAAGGGAAAAAAAACTACACAATGAATCCGACCTAACTTTCCTATGTACTTATATGAATATACTATAGTGAATCTTACCATTATGCATATCCACAAGACACTAATTTTTATAAAAAAATTAAGTAAATTGCAGAATGTCAGTCAAGCAGAGGAAAGGAACAGCAGGAGAGAGGAAGGGGAGGATAAGGGTAAGTACTGAGGACTGAATTGGAGCAAATTATATTCCATGCATTTATGATTATGTCAAAATGAATCCTAATGTTATACTAATATCAACCAATAAAGAAATTAAAAGAAAAAATTATATACATAAAAAAGTAGATGGTTAAACGTGTACTTGTTAAACAAAACAATTTGTCAAGGGAGTTTTCTATTTCATCTTCAATTCTTTGCTGGATAAAGCAATATTGGTTGGCAGTCTTTCAGAGCTTGGCATATATTATTCCAAACCTTCCTGCCTCTTAAATCCTGGGCTAAGAGGTTAGCAATGAATGATTCATATTGCTTTTGCCTGTGAATGTGACCTGCCATTTTTCTCTTGCAGCTCTTAAAATTCTATCCTTGTTTTGTATATTAGATATTTTAATTATAACGTATTTTGGAGAGGATTTTTTTTAACTCTTTAATTTTTTATTGTTGGCTGTTCAAAACATTACATAGTTCTTGATATATCATATTTCACACTTTGATTCAAGTGGGTTATGAGCTCCCATTTTTACCCCATATACAGATTGCAGAATTACATCAGTTACACATCCATTGATTTACATATTGCCATACTAGTGTCTGTTGTGTTCTGCTGCCTTTCCTATCCTCTACTATCCCCCCTCCCCTCCCCTCCCCTCTTCTCTCTCTGCCCCCTCTACTGACATTCATTTGTCCCCCTTGTATTATTTTTCCCTTTCCCCTCACTTCCTCTTGTATGTACTTTTGTATAACTCTGAGGGACCTTCCATTTCCATGCAATTTCCCTTCTGGAGAGGATTTTTTGATCTTGTCATTTGAGATTCTTAATACATCATGAGTTTGGATGTCTATCTCATTCACAAGGTTTAAAATTTTTTCTGATATTATTTCACTGAAAAGATTATGCATGCTCTTAGTTTATTTCTCACTTCCTTCCTCGATGCCAGTGATCCTGAGATTCAGTCTCTTCATGTTGTCCCATATTTCCTGAGTATTCTGGTCATGGTTTCTTATTTTTATTGCTTACTTGAGTTTTAAGATTGCATACCTTGACGTTAAGGCCTAAAAAATCTGTCTTTTCCATGGTCTAATGTGATACTTTCCATTGAAGTTTTTATTTTTATTTATTGATTCTTTTATTTCCAGGATATCTAGTTTTTTTTTTCATAATATCTATTTCTTTATTGAAATGATCTTCTACTTCCTGTATTTTCTGTTAGTTCACTTCTTATATTTTCTCGTACTCCCTTGATCATTTTAACCATCAGCATTTTGAATTCTTTGACATTTCTTCCCCTTTGATATTTAAGGATTCAATTGTTGAGGAGTTACACATTTGGGGGGGCATTTTATTTATTTGCTTTTTTAGGTTTCCTATATTTCATCTTTCTCCCACTGTTGACTATGAGACTTTTTAATAGGCTGCTTTCACTATAGTTCCATTCACAATAGCCTCAATGAATGAGTGAGTGAGTGAGTGAATGAATGAATATATACATACATACATATACACACACACATACTTGGGAATAAATCTAACCAAGGAGGTAAAAGATCTCTACAATGAATATTATAGAATGCTGAAGAAAGAAATTGAAGAAGACATTAGAAGATGGAAATACCTACCATTTCTTGAATAGGCAGAATTAATGTTGTGAAAATGGCTGTATTACCAAAAGCAGTTTACAGATTCAATGCAATCTTCATAAAAATAGCAGTAACATTTTTCATGGAACTGGAAAAATAATTCTAAATTCATATGGAAGAATAAAAGACCCAGAACAGCTTAAGCAATTCTGAGCACTAATAGTTAGACTGGAGACATCACAATACCTGATCCTCAAATTGTAGCATAGAACTATAGTTATAAAAACATCATGGTGTTGACATCAAAACAGATATGAAGAACAGTGCAATAGAATAAAAGACAGACAATTGCACATAGGTATAGTCATCTTATCCTTGGGAAAGGTGCCAAAAACATACATTGGAGAAAAAATAGCATTTTTAACAATTGGTGTGGAGAAAACTGGATATGCATATGTGGAAAAATGAAACTAGATCTCTGTCTCTCACCCTGCTCAAAATCAAAGTGGATCAAATACCTATGAGTTATACCAGAAACACAGCAGCTGTATAAGAAAACATAGGGTCAACAATCAACGTAGTGGCACAGGGACCAACTTCCTTAATAAGAATTCTAATGCTTATGAAATAAAAAATCAGTAAGTGAGATGGCTTCAAATTTTTAAAATTTCTGAAAGAGCCTCTCGGATGGAAGAAAAATCTTTGCCAGCTACTTTTCCAAAAAAAGATTAACATCCAAAATATATATGTGAATAGAAATCAACATTAAAAATAATCAAAAAATGGGCAAATGAACTAAACAGATATTTCTCAGAAGAAGAAATGCAAATGGCCAACAAATATATGATAAATGTTCAACATCCTTAGCAATCAGGGAAATGCAAATCGAAAATACAGAGGTTCCATCTCATTCCAGGTATGGCTGTCATCAGAAGTATAAATAATTAATTCTGGTGAGGACGTGGGGCAAAAGGTTCACTTATATGTTGTTGGTGGGATTGCAAATTACTACATCTACTTTGGAAAGCTGTATGGAGATTCTTCAAAAGACTAGGAATTGACCCACTATATGATCCAGCTATTGCTCTCCTTTGTATTTATTCAAAAGAATTAAAATCAGCAGATTATTATGATGCCTGAATATAAATGTTTGTATCAGCACAATCTATAGTAAGCAATTTATGAAATCAAGCTAAGTTTTCTTCAATAGATAATTGGATAAAGAAAATGTGGTATATGTGCACAATGGAGTTTTACTCATTCATAATGAAAAATGAAATTATGTCACTTACTGGTAAATGATTGGAACTAAAGAACATCATGCTGAATGAAATAAGCCAAGATTCAGAAGTCAAGATTTGAATATTTTTTCTTATATGTGGAAACTAGAGGTAAGTAAGGAATTAACAAAAAAAGAGATATATCATAAAAATAGAAGGGAGAACAGTGTAGTAGAGGAAGAAGAAAGAAGGGAAGGGAGGAGGGATGAGAAAGAGAAGGCACAGCAGAATGAAATTAATCAAATGATGCCCTGTCTATGTATGAACATATCACAATGGATTTTACCTTTATGTATAACTATAGTGCAGCAATTTAAAATATAATAGAATTTAGGTTAAAAAACAGTTTTTAAAAGACCAATTTAAAATTTCAAAAAAAAATTAACATTTTGTCAAAGCCAAGTCAGTTATTTATCAAATGAAGCTTAAAGAAAATACTTGGGGTTTATTTTCATTGTGTTTTAAAAGCTTTCCACACTGCGGTACCTTATAAAAATGGCTAGAAGTTAAAGATAAAATAAATTTGAATAAAATCTCCAGCTTTTGAGGCTTTAAATACAGCAGTTTGATAGTGAAGAAAAAAAGTTTGTCAGATAATCAAAACTTTTAAGAAAAGAATCTGGTGTATACCGATTTTTTTTTTTAAGTCGGGATATATAATCTCTTCCTGTTTTCACTTGTTCTTATAAATTGGAAGTAACTTCAAAGACAAACAACATTTTGAAGTGCTTTTGCCCTAACTTCTTGGAATGGTATACCTAAAAAAATGGTCTTTTGTTACAAGAGAGGCTTTGCATTTCTCTTTCAAAGGAAACCATCCTTTTCTAAATAAACTACTGGTTTGATGCTCTTTTCTCTACTTGAAACACATTTTCTCCCTCCTGCCCAAGCAGGGTATTTGCAGCAGAGTGATGTTGGTTTCTCTTTGTTCTCTCTATCTGATGTTTCTTTGATAGCGAATGGTTTCCCGCTCTTTGGGAGCAAATCCAGATGACCTCAAGGACCCAATTAAGATTAGTATTCCACGCTATGTCCTCTGTGGGCAAGGAAAGGATGAGCACTTCGAGTTTGAGGTCAAGGTAAGTGTCCCTTCTCTACTCTTCTGGAGGAATGGAGGTCGGAAGCTGTACAATGCTTTCTCTGTCTTTTTTTGTAAAATGAAGCTCATGTAAATATCTTGTTTTGTAAGATATTAGTCACACCCTTTAAACCAGTCTGAGAAACTCTATAGATTGTGCCATAAGGAGGTAAGGTTTCCTATAGAAGATCATATCAGTGGGGCATCACATAGACAAGGGAGTTTCTGCCTCCTACCTGTCTCATATTAGGATGATCGCTCATTCCAGGGTACCCAGGACTTCCCTGGTATCAGCCCTGAAAGTTCTATACTCTTAAGAGACTCCACAGTTCTGGGCAAACCAGGACAGTCACACTACCCATGGGCTTATTATAGGAATAATAATATTTAGATTACAGGGCTATCAGTACATGTAAAATGTTGGGTCTGGTGACTGGTATATAATAAACCACAAATTATAGCTATTGTCATTATTACTGCTCCTATTTTTATTGTTGTTTCCTGATTTTAATTAAGAGGTGTTACCAATCTATCTCAGGTGTGCTTTGATTTATATTTTTAAAGAAGAGATGTGCCTGTTTCCTTACATCATGCTTTCCAAAATAATGACTTCATCTTATTTCTAATTTATTTCCATTGACTCATAACACTTCATTAATTGTTGCTGGCTACCATCCCCTCCTCAGTGAATTAAAGATAAATCACACTTCTTCATTTTCAAGGATAAACAAAGGTATCAATATAATGAAGTCCCCTAGGGTCACTGATGTATTGATACATAAGGATGTCCTTGGAGGTAGTTTTGTTCAGGTAAACAGCAGAATCGGAATCTGGTCACCAAGTTCTGTAGAGCCTGATTCTGCCACTGTTTGCCGAGTGACCCTCAGTCTTTTTACCCCTCTGAGACTCAGTTTTCTCATGGATAAAATGAGGAAACTGGACAGCACTAGTGGTCTCCAATCATATCTTACCTTTCTTTAGAGAATATCCTAAGGAAGAACTGTAAAGCTGATAATCCTGGAGCTTCTGACAGGGAGGGAGGAGGGATCCTGAGTCAGCCCTTTCTCACTCGCCCATTTCCTGATGGACTTCAGGAGCCCCTGGGCTCTGGGGGATCCCTCCCTTTAGGTAGGCATCTGAAGAAACAGTAAAACTTCTTATTAATCAGGTTTTTAGATATGTATTTCTACAAACTGAGTTTTCCTTTTAAAAAAAATGCAACTGGACAGTAATTTATATATTCAAGATTTTTGTTGAGAAGACATGATGCCTGTGTAATTTTTTTTTAACTTTATTGATCTAATGTTGTGGGTTTTTATTTGAGAAACCACAAATATTATGCCATGTTCTTGGTCCATTACTTTTTATTGTCCCTAACCTAATAAATGCCTCATTTCTACACAGTTCCTTTACATTTGTTTTCAACCTTTCTATATGTATATGTCTATGTGAAGTTCCATTTGTAATTATATATTATGATATGTATATATGTATACATATTTCATATATAATGACAGTTTTATATATTAAATTTTAATAGACAGTTTTTGAGGGTGTTTTTATTATTTCCAAATTTTTGATTGGGGATAAAGACTGGCTTTCACCATCCCAGAATTATAGAATTGTCCAAATCATAGAACTAATAGCTATGAAAACATGTAAGATTTTAGTTTACATGCATATTTATGTTGCTCTAGTGGATAAAATATAACTATTAGATTGACCTCATGTATATAACTTGAATACTAATATATTTTTTTAAAAACTGAGTTGACTTAAATAAATATTAGAAGTAAACACTATCATAGGTGGTGTGCAAATCTGGCCAAAATTGTGATGATGCTATTGTCAAAGCAAGTTAGAGAAACCAAATACAGAAAACCATATGGGGCCTTTCAGAGTCTAAGCTTATACTTTAAAATACATAAAATCCAAATCCAAAGAGTTCTGCTTTCTTGAACTTACAAAGCCAGTTCTGAAAGTATGCTATCCTTCTGCTTCCTTTTGTACACATCCTAGGTATTATAATCATTGGCATGAAGGCTGGACTGTTAGCATTAGCCTGGAGAATTTCTAATTCTCCCAATGGGGCTGGTCTCCTAATGTCTACACATGCACTTGAGCAGAGACTTCATTCTCATGGGGACAGCCTGTCACTGAGGTATCAGGGTTTAGTATTAGAAACAAACATGAATATACTATCCCTCCCCAGAGCAAGTGCAGACTTGCTTTGGACAAAGTGCAGCTATTAGAATGGTTAGGTGTGCCAGTATCGTGCCTTGTATCCTCCAAGTAATCTCAACAAGTCATTTAACCTAGCTTTGCCTCATCTGTTAAATGGGAACAGTAAAACCCACTAGGCTGGGATGAGTGGGGAGTATGTAATCTTATATATGAAAGTACTTGAAATAGTGCCTGCCACATACTAAGTGCTGTATAAATATCTGTTATTAAAATTTAATAGAAACAAAAAAGTTTAGAGAATGTGTAAGATTTAACCCTTGCTATCCCCTCAGTGACTTTTGATGTGCAATTATGTCTGAAGTTTTGGGATTTTTTTTTTTTTTTTTTTTTTTGGTGGGGGGAGTATCTTATTCTCCCTTAGCATTCTGAACTTAAAATTAAAGAAAGCCTAAAAGAAAACCCACAGATAATTAATTCATCCATTGTCATTATTGAAATAGAACTGCAGCTGTCTTGCACCTGTTACTGAAACTTTAGCCCTTCGTTGAGATTTTAGTGGTTCTGTGGACATGCAGTTTTGTACCTCCATATAAGAAGTACTATGAAATACTATAAACAGTTTTGAAGAAACAACTTTATGAGTATTTTTTCATAAATTTTTACTTTTAAGATCTTATGTTAAAATCATTTTAACTGTTTTTTATTTAAAAAAAAAAACATGTTTGCAAACTTTTTCCATCCATTAAGATATACCATGTATAGAACATGTTTTCTAGAATAGATAGTCTCATTATGGGTAATATTTTGGATACTAGTTATTCTTTCTTGTTGAGTTAATGGCATTTAGGAAAAGTATTATTTGAAAGGTAAAAAGTATTATTTGACAATAGACTCAACAGTTTTAGGCTTTTGTAAGGAAAATCTGATGTTAATGTACATAGATATTTTATATTATTGTACTTTATCCTTTAGAACAATCTTTGTTGCTTCTTTTTTAAAAAGTCAATTTGTGTTTGACATCACCCTTCCCTAATGATCTTCAAGGCTGTCTGGGGTTCTGAGTGCCCACTGTGAACCACTGTGCCTTCTGTGACCAGTGGGACAGGGCCTTGATGCCTTGCTGATGTGGGACCCCTGATCACTGCATGGCTTCCTGGTGGTCACTGCCAGTTCACTTAGAAACCCCTATGTGAACATACAAGGTATGAGCCTCCACTCACTGATTTGGCAGGCCCTAGAGAATCTGGGAAGAAGACAGGTATAAAACAGAGAGGACTCACTATGCCTCATCTGTAAAATGGGGATAATAAAACCCTCCCAGCTGGGTTGGTGTGAGGAATGTGAGTTTATGTATGTGAAATGCTTGAAGCATGCAGAGGGGTGGCTGCTGGTATTCTCTTTCTGTCAGCTTTCCCTGAGCCCACTGCATCCCTTCTGCTTCCTATCCTTTTCTGTTCACCCTTTCCTAGATTGGACTATTTTGTGGTGCTGGGGATCTAAGCTAGGGCCTTGCACATGCTAGGCAAGTGCTCCATCACCAAACTACATCCCTTAGCCCCAGGATTTACTAGTCTTTTTTTCTTCATTGGCCATTTTCATTTTAATTTCTAATTTGGTACTTTTCATGGTTCTGTTCATTGTGGAATGAAGTAGTCATGAGCTTATTAGGGAGATGTTCCAGGTCAGGCACAGGGGAGGGCAGTAAGAAAAACAGGCATTCACAAATGCTCATCTTCTCATCCCTGATGGGTCCTGAGGGGGTTCTGGTCACTGATCTTTAAAAGGAGAATAACGGAACTTTTCATTAAACCATGTTTAATTCAAAAAGACTGTCTTTTTTATTTGCTTTATTTTGGTGGACTAACAACAGCTTTCTTTTATTAACTTTTAGATAGATAAGTACATAGGTTACTATTGTTCAGTCTCATTTAACTTTGTAAATCTACTCCATTGAGGCATCATTTATGTTCAGTGAAAAGTGCACACTGTGGAACCTGCCCCATCTAGATTTAGGATATTTCAGGCACTCTAGAATTTCTCATGCCTCTCTGCAGTTAGCATCCTTATGCAGCCTTCAGGTAAGCACTGATGTGCTCTCTCCAGCTACAGGTTCACTGTACCTGATCCAGCCTGCCAGAACATGGCCTTTCACAGCAGTAGTCTTCTACATCTAGCTGCTTTCACTGGACGTGATGTTTTAGAGATTCATCCATACAATTAGTACAGTGATCATTTTTCTTTTTCTATCCGGAGAGCATCCTACTGTATGGATATATCTCAATTTGTTGCATTCCTTTCTTTTGTTGGTGTTTTTTTGTAATGTTCTTTCCTGATGATGCAGAAAGTTGTCCTTCCCTTTATTTTACTGAACCCTGGAGGAGCTGTGCCTAGGAACCCCCCAGGTCATGTCAGTTTCTGTTTCCTTGGAGTTAACCCGTCCAATAAATCCTAATAGCACATCCTTCTGGGACTCTGTCCCCATATACATAAAGAAATGCACCTCCTGCCAACAGGTGTCAGAGATGAGGCAGGAAGCAGAAGAAGGCCCTGTCTGGCTTCTCTGAGCTGAGGACATTTGGCACTGAATATTACTGAATGTCACCTGCTGGTCAGTAGCATATATCTGTAAAATATGTGTTTTTCCTAAACTGCAGCTGCCACAAGTAATACCTCTCACTGAAGACAGCTGTCATCTTAAAACTCCCTCTTCTAAACTTTTTGGTGATTGATACATGAAATCAGTTACAATGCATTATACTTGCCATTTTCAGTTAGCTAGGACTAGAGTGGATAAAATTTAATTTTTAAATTACATTT